CTTATGTTTACTGAGATATTGTTAATGAGAATAAACAATTAAATAAATCCTAGGTACTTATTTAAATTCGCTGACATTATTACATATTTCAGAAATACTCAATATATGTTTGTATGTAAACTTCACTACATAGTACAAAACAAAGTCGCTTTCTCTGTCCCTATGTCCCTTTGTATGCTTAAATCTTTGAAACTACGCAAGGGATTTTGATGCAGCTTTTTTTTAACAAATACAGTGATTCAAGATGAAGGTTTATATGTATAATATATGAATAATATAGTAGAGAAACACTGATAATTTTAGAGGTTTTTAATGCAAGGTCGTAAATAAACACATTTTTTTGGGCTTACATTGCAAACGCTGGCTGAACCCTACGAGATCGATTAAAATAATGTACTACTAGACCAGGGTCGATAATTTTTGAGACCAAATAAAATTATAGTAGGATGAAACCCATTAGAAAAGGTAGAGAATATAACAAAAATGAAAGGAAAAATAAATTACGGGCGATCTGAGGTCGGGAAGGGGGAGGGGGTGAGTTTTTAAGGGTCTAAAATGGTTAATCTCGATTTCCGGTAAAACTGCAAGTCCTATGAAAAAAAGTTAAATGGCAAAGTTGTAGGTAATAAAAAGATCTACAACTTTTGTATCGACACTTTTTTCACATAACCTCAAAATTTATGTGAAAAATGCGAATAACCGAGTTTTTGGTTTTTGATTTTTTATTATTTGCAAAAAAAATTTTATTTCACGAAATTTGGTGAATTCTTACCTTTGTATGTCCCAAAACATCTTTGTATGTTTTGGGACATACCTTTGTTGCCAAAAGTTGTAGATCTTTTTATTACCTACAACTTTGCAATTTAATTTTTCTTCATAGGACTTGCAGTTTTACCGGAAATCGAGATTAACCATTTTTTACCCTTAAAAGCTCACCCCCTCCCCCTTCCCGACCTCAGATCGCCCGTAATTTATTTTTCCTTTCATTTTTGTTATATTCTCTACCTTTTCTAATGGGTTTCATCCTACTATAATTTTTTTTCACTTTTCACCATTTTTAAAACTATCGACCCTGGTCTATACAGTATTGTACACCTTAAAAAGGTCTACAAAAAAGTCCGCGATAATATATGTCTATCTTTTAGGGATAACCCACAATATAATCATTAATCATTTTTTATCCTATACTTTTTATTTATGAAGCGATTTTCAGCAATATAACATTCATCCTTATCCAATGAAGTACCTTAAATACATTGAGCATTTAATATAGACCAATTTGGCCCTTCAACGCATGTTATTTAAATGAATATTTTCGAAGATATTATAAATTTAGGGACATAGCGCAGGGACGCTACCGGGCGGGGGCTTGGCGGCGCGCGCCTATCGTTATTAGGTATAAGTAGAATGTCATTGCGTATAATACAAGCCTGAGAACAAAAACTATAGTCTACACTACAGCTCTACACCGAAGCGAAGCGAGGGCGGGTCACTAGTATGCAATAAAACATAAACGCACATACAAACATACAGCTTAAATCATGAACACTGAAAGAATAATATTACACTCATTTTTCTGAACAATGGCGCTAACACTGTGATTGTCGCAACTAAGTATAAACTTCAATTTTCTCTTGAAAATAGGGAATAAATAGATTTTTGTGTGTGAGGCAGCGGCCTCAAAGAATAAATTGTCAGCTGATTGATAGACGTTCCTCGGAGCGATTGTTGCATAACTACTAGTAGTTCGTGCTCGATTACAAATTTCGTATTAATAATAGAAATCTTTTGTTTTTGATCTCGTAAAATATTATTGTCACGTTGCTGTATAATAAACAAGTCTATTGCCTAAAGCAGCAGTGAAAATAATGGAAGAATGTTTTGTGGGTGGGTACTCTACCTCTGTTAAGCGAGCTTTTCGATATTAATAGATATCGAAACAACCCATCTGTTGATAGGTTTTCATTGAAAAATCTAAATACACTCGAGAGCTATGAACCCGGGTCACATATAGAATCCTAAAAATCTCGCAAACTGAGAATGCTAGCTTAATGAAATAAATTGTGTTTAATAGACAATTAAATACTCCTAGGAAAGTGATAACATTTATGAGTCACCACATTTTATTTACAAAAAAATACATAATAATAAAATCTGGCTGATCTCGCCTTAAAACAAAAATAGGAAACATGTCATTTTTTGAACAACATTACGATTTTCTTGTATTTTAATACTTTGTAATGCCTCCTCGTGCTTCCATTACTGCATTTACCCGGTTCGGCATGCTGTACACCAAGTTTCTTATACGATTTTGGGGAATATTTTCCCATTCCTCTGTGAGAGCAATTTTGAGCTCACGAAGCGTAATTGGAGGAGGGTTTCGTTGTTTGACGCATCTCCCTAGCTCGTCCCAAGCATGCTCGATCGGGATGATATCCCGGCTGCGTGCTCGCCACTCCATACGAGTAACGTTTATCCCTTGAAGGTAGTCATTCACAATCCAACCTGTATGAGGTCGGGCATTGCCATGCATAAAAATAGCTACCTCAGCCAAATTGACCATAAATGGACGAAAGTTTTCATTTGAGATTTCTTCCACATATCTTTCGCTAGTTAAATAGCCGTTTTTTATGAACACCAGTTCTGTACATCTCTCCGAAGAAATTCCGACCCTTCTCATTTTGGTGTATTAAAACAATTTTGGTGGCTGTTCATTCACCACCAAAACCACCAAAATAGCAACAACAAAATTAGAAACGAGTCAAACTTGTTTCAGTTTCAAAAAAGTATTAGAATGATATTATTTTGTCACTCATTTGAAAAATGCCTTAAACTCGAACTATCCACATTTGAATTATATATTTTTTTCGTCATGAGAACATTAATGCTTAAACACCAAAATTGATATTTTTTGTCGGATCGCCGATTCTTGTTAAACTTATATTTTTGGCGGAAAATCTCAGCAGGTCAGAACGCATTAGACACTGTCACTTGGCAGAGCGTAACCAAGGGATACTAGGAATCGCAAATGGTGATTATTTTTAACTTATAAATACATGTTAGCACTTGTTATAGTATATCCACCAAAATTATTGATTATTCTTGGACGAATCTTTCTGCCATGCTCTAAAAGTAAATTAGAGCCATACAAAGGAAATAAAATTGTAAATAGTTGAAATAACTAGTATATTTTATGATTTTAAAAAAATGACTACTAAAAACTTGCTCAATTTTTGACATCTTTAACAAATTCTGAAGAAAACGGTTTCTGGATGCTCCACCAGACTTAGAAAATGGAAGGAAAGATATTTCCTTATGTATAATGTGTTTTTTGTGGAAAATGTATTTAGCCTCATGAAGATATCTAAGCCTTTTCCTAAACAAAAAAAAAAAAATGGTTGCCTGTAAAGTCGGTTTTACGGGCGAAGATTTTACGTGACAACGTCTTTTTCTCGGTAGAATATTTATTGATATGAATATAATTAAATTGCACAATAGGAACAAGGAATTGAATGAAAATAAGAATTGCACAAATTTTAACTATAGAAATATATTTTGTTTACTAAAACATTGTACATGTAAACTTAAACTTAACACGAGAGACTCATCGTAACGTTACCGAGCGTTACACTTTTTCATAAGTGACTCCCAGCCGCAACCTAATTTAAGACGTTGTCACGTCAATAAAAACTTGTGTATTTATAATTCTACACTGCTATATTTTCAGGTTTTTTTAAATAGTAATCAGATTGATGAAAACGCAGTTTTGGTAAACAATTGCTAAGTACCTGAATCACTAAGTCCACGCGGGCGAAGTCGTGGCGAAAATCTAGTTAACGCATAAACCAGTCAGAGAATGGACAAAACGACTTTTGCATGATACTGACAAATCTGTAGAATGAGAAAAAAAATGTTATAGTTAACCTACTTATATGAACTCATAGGGTGTATTCCGAAATATACATCAGTATACTGGCCAGTGGTAATGACGTCACGAACGAATCCGACGCCATATTGTACTGGTATGCTACCATATTTTTATCGGGAAAACGAACATGACGTCTGACCGAGCGTGCGTGAAAAGCATTCAAAATTTATTTCTTTTTTATTTAAAGAACAATAACGGCACCCGAACAAAAAGAATTCCTTTTAATTGATGAGGTGAATAAAAAATCTTCTTCATTCGCACTATTTTTAATATTTCGTCGATTTATGATGTCAGTGCACTGGCCAATATATTTCGTGATTTCGTGAAATGGGACGGAAGTGTGTAAAAGGAAGTCGGAAAAGAGCGCGCTATTTGATTTGATTTTAGAATATAATGTTCAAATGGCTTATTCCTTTTGTAGTAAGTTTTATTTCTTTTTCTACTAATATAAGGTGAGGTTTCAATTGTTACACATCATACGCGACTACTGTAAGACTCGCTCGTTTTTTCTATGAGATTTTGACACTTTTATTATTGTTTGTTTCTCTTTGACAAAAAAAAAGATTGTTTTACCTTGTCACTGCCACCACTGTTTTCTTCTCTCTTTAAAAATAATTAAAAATACAGTCCTTATCCTCCACAAATGTACTGACAGTATGTTTCCCTCACAGTTCAACATATTTGTTTCGTATATATATTATATTCCGCGCAAGTGTTCCCTCCTTCATATAATCTGGGGTCCTTTAAAAGAGATGTGAAGAAGCATTTTTGCAGGCCGGCCAGGTGAGGATGATTGGTGTAGCAGTTTATAACTGCTGTACCAGCTATCTTCGCGTTTGGACTTTATTACCACTTAACATCAGGTGGGGTAGAGTCATTTGCCTACCTCTATATACAATATATAAAAAAAGATTACTATTTAGACTAAGTATGCACCTCGGTAAACTTTTCGAGCAACGACCATAGAAAAGGAAGCCTGCGTAGTAGCAAGTTAATTTGTCTGTGGTTTTGCTCAAGAAATTTGCTGCTACATATAATAATGTATTTCATTACTTTATTTGTTTTGTACCAGCGCTTGGACGGAGAAGGAACTTGAAGAAGGAGATTGGAGATCTCTTGCCTTACAGCGGATGGCGAAGGTACTCCGGACACATGTTATCAAATTCGATTTCGAAGATGCAAAGAACATGGATAAAGGTATACCTATATTTTATGTAACACGAGGTGTGGGATAGCTTGAACCATCTTTCAAAACTGTATCTAAGTATAGCGGAAACAAAACGTTAATTCGTTCATTGGTTACACCCAGGACCGTTCTTTTGTGATTGGTATATCGCATGTTGACCAATTGCGCTAAATTAAAATACAATTTTGAAAAATGGTTCAACTCTCCTACCTGGGCAAATCTCTCGGTTATCATGTAACGAAAATTCAAAGGAAATATTAATAGATATAAGTACTAAGTACTAAACGGAACTGAAAGACCTTTGGTAAAGTACTAGTTGTTATACGTGTCAAATAGTTATTTCTACAGAGTTATAATTGTTTCTGTTTCGTTTAAAATAAGTGGCAGTAATTTAAACATAAGATACCTCTCAAGGTAACTGATAACTCAAAAACCATACGAAATTAGATTTAATTCTTTTTCGATTATAATGTAATACCATAGATAAATGATAGGTTTTAGCGAGACCAATCATTTATCTGAGTGTAATACATTATTTTGTACAGCCTGTATAATTATGGACGCAAACGAGTACATAATTCGCCTAATGATAAACGGATACCAGTGGCTTAATGTCATGCACCCCCACTACATCAGCGATGTCAGTGGGTTTCAAACAATATTCTTTCAACTGAGTGTTAGTTTTGGCCGAGTGGTATGAACGCCAGGTTTCAAGGTCGCCTACTCGAGAGGTCTCGGGTTCGAATCCCGTTGGGGACAGATGTTTGTGTGATGAATGAAACCAGCATTTGTACTCCAGTCATGGATGTTTGATATGTATTTAAAAAAATATACTTATTTGTGTCAGTATATGTATTCTATTCGTTACCCTAGTATCACACAACACAAGGCTGCAGTGCTTTTCATGACGCTAGGCTAATTGGTGGGTGCTCAAAAAAATTTCCCTCGATCCACTTAAATCTATTTTAAAGATATACACGCCGCCATTTCCTGTAAGGGACGCGCGCCGTTTCATACAAAGTTGGCTGCGGCACTCCCGTCGCACATTGGGGTGACCTAAGTCCCCAAAATGCAAGCCGTTGACCGATTCAAGAGTATTGCATTGTTGTTACTGGGTAGGGCCCTGTTCATTACAACGAGCCCCAGGGCTAGGTAGTAGGGAGAAGTCCATAGATACCTTCGCTTGGCTCTCCTGGCTGGCGAAGGATGCGTTATGCATTTTCCAGACAACCCTAAAAAGGGTCTCTTTGACGATGAAGCATTCTGTATGACAACGCGCGTACATCCCCTTAAAGCAGTTAAGGTAAAGAGCTTCGTTAGTGCCAAGCTAGTATTCAAGAAGTCTGTTCACTAATGAATTAATGAATGATTAGTCACTATGCGAGTAGCTTGCTCTTAGTACCAAGAAAGACTCATTTTAGTGTGACTTTAAGTTATAGAGGCAGAGATCCCTGGTATATACAACCCAGCAAATTTCTTGATTATGAAGCAAAACCGTCACCTGCGCAAGTTTAATTGTCTGTAGGAGTTAAGTTACTCAAGGAGTTATACATTAAATTACAAAAGAAAAAAAATGGTTGTTGGGGAAAATTACAACGGTTGTAGCTTAACAACATTAGGAACAGCCGTAGTGGCAGGATATGAAAAGTATGTAGGTATTGTGAACAATAGTTCAGTAAGTAGTTTTTAAAATTGCACTTTTTCTTTTACTGCATGAATGTATGGATTTTCTTTCATGCTGAGACCAGCATAGTAGATTTACGAACGCACTGAAACTTTAATATATTAGATTACAGTAACTACTTAACTCCTTTGCGATAAAAAATTTAAAACTACTCTCGTGAAATTTTATTTTTATAAATCTACTTTAAATGTATTTTAATAAATACCAATTTTTTTTCATTAAATGCCATCAATTTGTTTAATAAAGACTTTTGTATGGTGACTTTATAAGAAAAACAAAGTATTCATTACATCGTTTCCATTAAAACACATTTTTTAAATCTCTCAAAGTGGTGTTCGTTTTCTTTAATGAATTGTGAATCCAAATTGGATTTTTACACAAAAGACAAGCATTACCTACTTCTTTTGAAAGCATTAAGATTTTCTCTTCACCCAATTTTTGAGAGATCGATTTTCTTGAACACAAGAGGCTTTGAGATTTCTTTGAAAATTGCTGTATTTTTTCTTTGTAAAATATTGTCAAAATACTATTAGGTATTCGATTTAATGGACCTTCTGATGTTGGGCTTCTGGATTATTTTATAAAACCAAGCAAATTTTCTGACCTCTCCTGACTTTAAGTACGAGTGGAGCTAGACTCCAGCGCATAGCGAATACAGATTATGTAGTGGAAATTTTAACGGTCTTTGCATTTTATTTTTGTATGAACAAAGTTTCCAGAACAACCTTGTTCATACAAAAATAAAACATTATCAAAATTTGGTACTTTATTTTATTTATTTATTGAATTTAATGCATTTTCAGGGTTCTGTACCTCAATTGGCAAAAACTGAAACCGTTATAGAATCACTCGGTTATCTGTCTGTCACATCGTTTGCTTGTAATCTACTGCATCGTTCAAGTTAAAATTTTGAACATACATGTATGTCTGTGACCCAACCATGCATGAAAAAATAAATAAATAAATTTTCAATAGGGGTTACTCTTGCAGGGTGAAATATATAATTCAAAATAAATTTTTTGCTTAAATTGAACTCAACTCACTACTCAATATGAATGATTTAAAATATTTTTCTTCAAATGTAAAATAAAAGTCAAAAACTTTTTAAGAAAATAAATGAAAATTGATTTGTCACCCTCTCAAAAACTATTGCGTCTAAAATTTAAAAATACAAAGATGGAATGTTGGTATTTGTTTGTAGATTACTGGAAAACCTATAAGAAGCATAATGGTCAGTGCATTCGCCCGGATAGCGAGGGTGCGGGTTCGAGTCCCGCCTGCTGCCTGGTCCGCGTGGGTTTTTTTCTAGTTAAATTTTCTTTAGATTTAATCATCGAGCAGTAAAATACTTTAAAAAAAAATATAACCTATAGGAAGTTTATAAATATAAATATATAAAAGAGCTTACGCTTTCCTTAAAGACCGGCATCGCATTTGTGATGCTCCTGGTATTGCAGATGTGTATGGGCGACGGTGATCACTTGCCATTAGATAAGCCAACAGCTCGCAGACCCCCTATAACATATATATATATATAAGAAGAACGGAACCACTTGGGCGGTTTTGGGTGTACTATTTTGCTGCAGTTTGTGTGGTTCCAATTCGAGTAGGGAATCCGCTATGCTTTATCCTTCTTAATAAAGAACTTTGTAGATATGTTACTATTCTCGATAACCATAGTGTTTTTAATTGGTATGAAGAGTAAAACATTAATCGTCGAGTAGGCCTCATTTTTAGTCATGAGTCATCGTAATTATATTCTGCGTAGGTATTAATTAATTGAATAGTAGCAAATATGTATGTTTGTACGTAGGTGTTAAGTGAAGGTGTTGATGCAGCATTAAGCAGTTTTATTTATTTCCCTACGTCAATTTAGGGTCAGCCCTGTTTTAAAAACAATCGGAAATGAATTCTGCTTCGATTCTATTTATCTAACCGCTATTAAACAAGTCTGTAGGACGAAGTTTTCCATAGATTGAATTTCCATAATGAATGTTATTCACTGATCTGACTAATTTTTAATCTTAGAAGATCTGACTGACTTTCAGCTCTTTGAAGATTATAATTTTTATTTTTAAGCATGTATCTAGTTACCCTCAATGTGAAACGATGGCGCTGCCTTGCAGCTTAAGAAAGGCTAGAAAACATTCGACACGGCCATCAGGAGCTCAATTTTTGAATCACTCGTCTTGCGTCGAACGCTCGATTTCTACTAAATTTCATTCGACATAATTAATTCCGTATTTTTGAATCGCTCGAGTGCAACGAATGGGTGAGACCACTCCTTGCATGGCGAATGGTGGAGGCGAATGATAGAATAATAGTCAAATTATTTGTGCTATTAGACGACGATAAATCTATCATTGTCATGCTTTATATGAAACAACGACGAGAATTTTTTGTTCGGTTTTAATTTTTCTGCGTGAAATAAGTAAAATTTCGTATTTCGTATCAAACAGGTAACACTGGTGACGAGTGATTCAAAAATACGGAAATTCAGTATTATGCGACTTGAAAGTCGAAGGTGACTTATGTCGCATTCGACGATACTATGTCAGACGAGTGATTCAAAAATAGAGCTCCAGAACCGCTGTAGCATAATACAACACATTTTTTTATCAATACATTAATTAATTGTTATTTCTTCTTTCAAATGTTTAATACTTGTTACTTCTACCACCACGTTAACTCAACAATTGTGCTATTATGAAATTTTACTAGTTAAAACAGAAGATATAACTACAATAGCAGCAAAAAGCTATTATAGGTGTTATTTTAAGTACTTATTTCAAATATATTGTTTTAAACTTTCATGGTCACTAACATTATAGCTATTACGGGGATTGTTACCATGTACCTTGTTTTTTATGAGTCTCCGATATTTCGGCACTGTTGCAAGCGCCATGATCACGGAGTAACTGAAGTAATTGTGGGTTACCCGCGGAGACTCATAAAAAACAAGGTACATGGTAACAATCCCGTCAATAGCTATTATTTCAAATATTCTGCTTACAGTGGAGTACCGTGGCCGTCGTCGTCACCAGATGATGACTATGATGATGTTTGGAATAGTGTCCATCGGTATGGTGTTAGTACCCATGGGTTTCCAGTTTCTCGCTGTATTAGGTGGGAAAGCCCTCCTACTTGCGAAAATGGCGTTAATATTGGCGTCTATACAAGGCCTTAAGAAGGTAGTTTTTTTTAATAATCTATACTTTTTAATAAATTTAAGGTTTTAAATGTACTCGAAACTTAGGCATAAAAACAGGGTCACATTGTTTCGCGATTTATTCAAATTGGTACGGGCTTTTGGTAATTAAGTTAGGGTACTGTTCCACCACTTTCTGATAACAATTTAGATAAAAATAAAAAGGAAATTTCTTACTTGCCTACACGGCACTATTCAAATAGCGTCTGCTTTTAAATCACATCTCTATAAGAAAAACCTGATTATTGTTTCATAATAGGGATATTACGGAGTAGAGTAATCGAAATTGTATTAGCCCGTTAGTTAAATTATCAAAAAATAATAGAAACCCTTTCCTTTCTTTTGTCAATCAACCAAAAAAAAGAAAATATAAAGCGCGTCAACGTTTGGAAGTGGGAAGGGGGGGGGGGGGGGGCACTTCCAAGTAAAATATGTACCAAGACGTGACATCATGCAACATTTGAAATCAATATAACTGTAACTTTTTGATGGTGTGAATAAAGATAAAATACTTGTCCACTACTTTTTAACAGAATATAAAAAAAGGATTTTCTCAGTTTAACCTGTATGTTTGTCGGCGATTATTGATAATCTACCTGATAGACGAAGAAAAGTTTGTCATCTACTGTCTTTCATCAGAATGATAAATCATTCAGCAGTGCTATTCTGTAAATTTTTCACGCGCGGATCCGATATCTTGAATACGCGCGCTTAAAAATTTTACAGAATAGCACATAACAAATATTTTACAACTGAGTGCTGAATATTAGTTGGATTGCAGACTATTAATGTTTTCCTTCTGTATTACACGTGCAATAAAACTCCACAAAATATAACATCAAATCTTGTGTACCTACAAACGTATGCTGCAATAAATTAATCACAGAGTTCTGACCGCGACTGTCAGATAGTTGATGGATAGGATTATCAGAAAGTTAATCAGGAAGTGGTGGAACAAGGTTTTAATTTCATACTTCTTGTTTCTTTTTTGTTCGAACGCTTTATGAATTACAAGAATTGTTATGACGAAAACAATTTGCCAAACAATACAATGACTTGATTCAATTAAAAGGCACTTTATCAACTTTATGAAGTAGCAGTGTAGCTGAGTGGGTGTAAAGCTCAGCCTGCTATCGATCCTGGGTTCGATTCCCGTTTGGGACAATACATTCTGCTAGTCTGGGTGTTTGAGTTATATGCTGGTTGCTGATTCCCGGATTCTGGAATATGAAATGTTGTAAGTCTAAAGGGTCTAATTGCTAATTTAATACCGGTATTTTCATATCATTCTTATATTTATTAGGCACGGCACTAAAAACGTATTTTGAAAAATATATCCTTTTTTGCACTTAGAGCCTTTAGACTTACAACCATTCTATTGGCTTTTTAACTTGTAATCAGAGCAACGATGTTTCCAATATTTACCATAAAATGTATCTATTCATGTACTAAATAACAATGTTTACTAATACAGAATATAACAAATCGGTGATGTTAACACACTAACTTTATAAGTTAACGTTCTCTTTTAGGTAGAACATAGTTATGATGGTTATCATGACAGGGGGAAGGTATGATTTTAAATATAACAAAACTGCTTTCTGTTTCCTCTCTTTCTTCATAAACTAATTATTTTTAATTAAACAAATATATTTTTACCTTAAAATCTAATATTAGAAGAAGACAAGAGATTGTTGATGGGTCCTTAACAGCTTAATGACATTAACCAAAACTAACGTTTGATGATAATTAAAAACAAGTAGTTAAACATCACACGATAGGCTTTAAGCACAATAACACTTAATACCAGTCCGATAACGTGTTAACAGATGTTCTGTTCCAGATTGCTTCAAGTCCGGTAAACTATGGCTTTTACCATTCCCCCCCTTACGATTACTATGAGAAGAGGAGTCGGGACGATTGGCCACCACCATCTGTGATGCCGGCGACACCACCGCCATCTTTGTCCGCGCAGACTTGGCCGAGCAACCAGGTAGTCAAGATCGACAGGACAATAGCGAATGAGGGAGCGAGAGGGAAGATCGAGGCGGTAACATGGAGGCCGGAGTTGCCGAAAGCCATACAGCAGGAGGCAGAAGCAAGAGTTTACCCAGTATACGCTGGGCCAGAAGTCACACCTTTCACTTCCATCGATGCCCCAACACAACTCGCAGATTTTACAACAAGACCTGGTGAAGTGCAGGCGGAATATGCCCTAGAGCTGCCCTACAATGGGCTCCGTTTTCAAAGTCCCACTACTGTCGTTTCAGCTTGACATTTTTGTTCAACTGTTCAGATCACTGTTTAATGTAATCGCTGGCATATACTCTTACGTATCCCAAGTGCTATATCCACAGAGACAAGTTATTTATTCGATATATAGATGATAGTTTAGTAAAGTTTTAAATTATATTGTTTGTTGTTTTATTTCCCTTTAGAAATCATCATCACCATCAGCCTTTTAATATGCCCACTTCTGGGGCACAAGTTTTCCCTATGGAATAGGAAGATCGGGTCATGACCCACCACGCAGGCCTAGTGCGGATTGTCGGGTGCTAACGTCTACCGATGCAGCCGGAACCGACGGCTTAATGTGCCTTCAAAAGCACGGAGGAGCTCGAGATAGTAAATTTTTTGTCACGCATCCAATGACCGACCGCTGCGAAAGTTGTTTACCTTTAACGATTGCAGCCGAACGCGCCACCACGTAACCACTTGCGCCAACAAGCTCCTTTTCCTCCTTTAGGAATAGTTTTTGGCATTGTTATTTAAGTATTATGCTCAAGCAGCCTATGGACCCTATATAGACACCGGAGCTATATTAACATATGTTAAAATCAGTTGGTCGCAAATGTTCAAAAATCTAATTAAAATGTTCGAAGTGGTCTAAAGTGTAGACGCTTGGAATGCTAAAGTCCCTACTAAATGCACGCTGCCTACACTGACAACATCTTCTCCGTTGAACGCTAAAAACTTTGTGCACATAGAAAATTAAAATACAAGTATCATAGTTTATAAAATTCTATCCGCTACTTCTGCGTCGAAAAATTTATTTCTTAAAAACGTTTTGTGGAATAAAATATCCTATGTCCTTTACCAGGACAAACTATCACTGTACCAAATTTGATCCAGATCGGTTAACCGGTTGAAGACTGAAGAAAAAACAGACAGGCAGAAAGAAAGACAGACACACTTTCGCATTTTTAATAATAGTATGGACAAGAATGGGTATTGGATAGTATAAATTAGTATGGATATCGTCTTCATAGTCGTCCATTCTTCTCCAACTTTCGTAGTTTTTAATATAATAACAGCTTAAGAAGAACAGCCAGTTTAGTAAATAACATTGAAATTCATTGAAATTATCAATCATAATAATAATTTATATAAAGACGTAATTGACTTGAATACTTTTCAATCCCTAAGGTTAATTCCATTCTGATCCATTAGTATAGCTTTTACTGCTTTCAATCGTGTTTTGTTTTATAGTTGCCACAATATTGAAAAGTGGCTATAAAATACTTAATGCATTTTTGCTAATAGAATAGGTGTTCGAGAAATATGAACTATTAAATGAACAACCACAAAGAGGGAACGTTACACGGTTTTCAAAAAAGGCAATGATTTTAAACAAACTTTCTTTATGTATGAACTTGATTTTGAGTTGCAGTCCTATATCTTTTATAAGAGCTAACAAACTTTAAACTTCATTTACTATTTATTCAGTTTATTGATAAATAAACGTGCATAAATAAATATATATTTTTAACATTAACGCAATTAGCCTAGCCCCGAAGTAAGACAGGAAGGCTTGTGTTATGGGATACTAAGGTAAAGGATAGAATACATATATAGGTATAGTTATCTGAAAATTTAAACTTGATAAACATCCATTAGTTACTAATGCTCGTATTCATACTATTCAAACCCGGGACTTCTAAGTAAGCGACACCTTGAAATCCGGCGCCAACAAACCATTTGACCGCGGATGTCGTCAGTCATACATATATATTAAGAGAAGTAATTAATTGGTTTACCTTTTAAAACTAAATACAGCTTACTGATATTTTTTTTGTTAACAAATATACAAATTCTTTGCTAACCGTTTAAAGATTACCCATTTATTAAAGTCAAAACAACTTTGCTATCGGTTTAAGTTTAACAAAGTCTTTGACATTCTGACCGTCTTATGTAGGTACTTCGACGCTCTCTAGAGAAATGAAATCCTCTCGTTTAATAATAAAATTTTGGCAAGAAGCAATTTCATGTAGAACAAGTAAAAGGATAAATTAAAAAACATTTTAAAATGATATAATCTCAGTGTCTTTTCCATGTTAACGTATGATACATATTACTGAATAAATAAATAAAAATATGGTAATAATAAAGAGGTTTTTACAGACGGCGTGCGAGTCATATCCGACACTTGACCGGATTTTTATATAAAAAGGGTAGCTAAAATCCTTAGGGCCCCTGTTAACAAGACGATTTCTACCCGGGTCTAGGCACAGTTTTGCATGTTCAGTTGAGTATGGGATACTATGAAGGTTTGTTAACGAGGGATCCCGCGGTTTCGCACTAAGCAGCTTAGAGGGCATTTGCAGGGATTTTTAGCAGATATTATGCCGTAAAGCGCCCGTAAGAGTTACGGGGTCCTCAGTGGGCAGCCACTGTGGGGGCTCGTAAGGTTTGCGGGAGCCAGGTGTGAGGTCCGTTCGGCGGTGTGTCTCTTAAAGGCGCCGTCCTCTGTAAACAGAGTTTTTGCCTGCGTCACAAAAAAAAAGGTTATAGTGCCTTCCTCAGATAAAATCGTTTGTATTGCAGTTATATTAAAGAAAAAAAGAGAGGTAGGGCATAGCGGAATATACTAATACTAATTGGAATGCGGTGATGGGGTGTGAGTGATTCACGGGAGCAATGACGACGAACGTTCAGTGTGGAATCAACATTTTATTAACTTATCCTACATCTTATATACTACTTACTGTACGTTAACTATGTGCTAAGGGATAACATACTCAATCGTATCGAAGAAGTGTTATCAACACGTAGAAGACATGATTTACACTTCACCACAGGATTGATAGGGAAAGCAGTGCTGCCAACCCGAATTTCAGAAAATTAGTAGAATATGTGCCAAATGTTGGTAGTATTTGGTAGAATGTAAAATTGGTAGATCTGCCACCTCAATTTAGAAGATTTTATAAGATTAAAAATGCATGCAATGTAATGCAGAGCACACTTAAGATGACACCTACATGATTTGCAATAAAAATATCCTTCACCCTTGGTACTTTCTTGAAATTCCTTATCTTTCTCCCATAATTTCGAATATTTTTGGTCATAGTGCCTTTTTCTAGGTTTTCGTGGCGGAGTTTCTAACCTTGAACTCTATGCATCGCTTTCGCTGCTGTCAGAATCCATTAAATAAATAAATGCGCGCAACATAGAACAAACAGCAATCAGCACGGTTAATACTTAGTTATTTAGTTTTATCAAGAAAACAGGAGCAAAGATTAACTATTGATTCCGCAACAAACCAACCGGGAATAGGCCACAGAACAGTAAAATAATGTCTTTGGGCGCGAAATGGTGCGAACGGCGCGAACGGTGAACTCATGCCGAACTGTTGCTGACGTTTTTGAAGTGAAAACTTCTTTAGCGGCGTTGTACACTTTTTTTGTATGGGTAAAAAATGTTAAACTCGCGTCAGGATACGTGAGCTGATCGCGTCATGACACGTGGCCTGATCGGGGATCTGACGAAGACAATAAAATTGTAAAGGTGGTTGACTTTCAATATATTGAACGAAACATAGTAATATTTTATTTTATCGTATTATAATAATAAGACTCAATCTAAGACGTCCAGGTGCGAAGAAAATGCATTTTTTTACAATAGATGTCGCTAAGTGCGCTTAAACGTGATTCATGTAAGTTGATTTTTCTGAGAGATAAACTTTTTAATGTAATATAAATTATCATGTTTGTGTACGATAGCGCAATAAATAAATATTATATTCTACCACATAAATGAAATATGAAATGAAATGAATAAATAGTACTTTTATACTGATAATTAAAGCAATTTGTGCAAAATTATTCCCTTATAATACGAGAATACGAGATATCAAAAATGCACATCGTTAATATTCAAGTTTTCACTTCTGCCGGCACTCCCGGAGTGCAACTCGTCGTGTTTGTTTTATGTAGATTTTAATCTACAAATCATATTGAGAATAATGTCGTCAATTTAGATATACACTCCCGGACTCTTGAATCGAGCCACCTTACATTCCCGGGCCTAAAAGCCAAATACACAAAAAATATACATTATAACAAAAAAGTTATTATGCATTTTTAATGCTGGCATATTTCATCGTCTTTCCCGTATGTATTATTCCAAATTTGAATGTTAGAATTTAAAATAAAGAACAAAAGCCGAGCTTGGTCACTGATTTGAAAAAAATAATGACTGTTCAAAGTTGCTTTTGAAGCAATTTAATGTCGATTTGGTTTGAATTTTCGCAATTGTTGTAAACCAAAGTTTAGTTTAGTTATTTTTCTATAATTTGAACCGTTTTTGGCTATAAAATTATGGATACTTCACCTGAAGTAGCCGCGCAAGCTGTAGCACTTCTTCAATCTGGGCTAAGTCAGCGAGATGTGAGTTCACAACTTCACATAAGTCGTTCCGCTGCTCAAAGAGTGTACCACCGATGCCTGGAGACTGGCGGCTTCGTTCGGCGAACAGGAGGACTTCGCTACCGAGTGACAACGGCGAGACAAGATCAATACATTGTCACTACTAGCTTACGAAATCGACGCCTTAACTCTATTCAGATACAAGAACAGCTCAGGGACTTTCACGGAGTGACTGCAAGTGCTCGGACCGTTAGAAGGCGACTCAATGAACGTGGTTTAAAGCCCCATAAGCCAGCCAATGAACCCAAATTGACACGAGCACACCGAATAGCCCGTCTAGAGTTTGCACGCGAACATCTAAATTGGACTCGACATCAATGGAGCCAGGTTCTCTTCACAGATGAGTCCAAGATAATGCTATACGGTAATGACGGAAGGAGTAAGGTGTACCGAAGACAGAACGAGCGTTTCGCGCAATGCTGTATTGACGAGAAAGTACGTTATGGTGGAGGATCGTGGACAGTCTGGGGAGGAATCTCTATGGAAGGCAAAACTGAGCTAGAGGTAGTGACGGGAACACGACTGCCGCCCCTAGATGGCAATAGATGTTTAGAGAACCACGTGATACCATATGCTTGATTTATTAGCCAAGATTTCATTTTAATGCATGATAATGCAAGGGCCCATACTGCGGGAATCGTCAGGGAGTACT